GTGTGTGTGTGTGTGTGTGTGTGTGTGTGATGGGGGGTGGGGAGGGTGGGAGTGGGAGGAAGTGGGAGGGAGATAGGCATCAGGGGCCTTCTTCCTGAAGGGTGGAAGCAGGTGCTTCCATGCTTCACAGACATGGGAAAAGAATTCTGGAATTTTAGGGTCATGGGACAACAGAATTTTATCTCTCAGGCTCTAAGAACCAAGAAGCCAGAAATCTCCATTCCAACCCCTTCCCAGAGCATAAGTCCCCGCTGTAGCCTCCCTGATAGGGGCCATCCAGCCCCTGCTCACCTGCTCACCCCATCTCCCAACTTCGCCCCACAGGGAGGAGAGCTTGCTCCCTCCTGGGCAGGCCTTTCCTCTGTCGGGGAGCAAAACCTTCCTCTGGCTGAGCAGGGCCTCGCATCCTGTGATGTGGCCTCTGCCCCACCGTGTGTGTGTGGTGTGCGTGTGTGGTGTGTGTGTGGTGAGTGTGTTTGTGTGTGTGGTGTGTGTGGTGAGTGTGTGTTTGTGTGTGTGTGTGGTGTGTGTGGTGTGTGGTGTGTGGTGTGTGTGTTTGTGTGTGTGTGTGGTGTGTGTGTGTGGTGTGGTGTGTGTGTGTGTGGTGTGGCGTGTGTGTGTGGCGTGTGTGTGGTGTGTGTGTGTGTTCGCATCCTGTGATGTGGCCTCTGCCCCACCTCTGCTGGGCCCACAGGGCTCGGCCACTCTGGCGGTACCATCTCATAGGTGGCTTTGCAGCCTCCACCCCTCCCAGGCCTGAGCTTCCCTGCCTTGGAAGTTCACACCCATTCTAGTGGTCCCTGACACCTTCACTGGAGCCTTTCCAGAGAGAACTTCCACTGCTTGTGAATGAGCCAACTGTGACTTGAATGAAGGCTTTTAGGTGGGGAGATAGGGACAGCGACGGCGCTATGGGGGAGGTGAGATTTGAGGTAGGTGGTGACCACTGACCTGGCCTCTGCTATGTCTGGGGCCACTCCGCTCCCGCCTCCCCATGCTTGCCCTCACTGGCTCATGCACCCATACTCACCCTGGCTGGCGGGGGATGCCTGCAATCCGGTGGGTAGAGCAGCCGATGAAGAAGAGGGGCAGGCCGAGAAGCAGGCAGAGCAACGCCCCCAGCAGGCAAAGGACACCGCAGCGCATGGGGCCCAGGTGGAGGCGCTTGACCAGGATGCCCCCCGCCACGATGCCCACGATGGACAAGGGGATGGTGAGGGAGCCAATCAGCAGGTTGGCGAAGGAGGCTGTGATGGAAAACTGGTGCTCCAGGAACTTAGGCAGGAAGGTGGCCATACCCGCCACCATGGACGACATGCACACCTGGGACAGGACCACGAGCAGGAAGATGGGGTGGCGCAGGGTCCGCAGCAGCACCCTGGGGAAGACTGTTGGGGCAAGTGGGGAGGAGGTCGGAGTGGGCAGGGCAGCCACGCCATCCATGTCTGTCCCATCCTGCCCTGTTCAGTGCAAGCTGTTCCACTCCTATTCTCTCCTTCCATCCCACCCCATTCCATCTAACCCTGTGGCATTCAGTTCTATGCCATTACACCTGACTCCTTTCCATTTAATTCTATTCCATTTTGAAATTCTGCTTCACCCTGTTCCATTGAGTTAGACTGCATTTTATTCAATGAGTTTCTTTCCATTCACCTCTATTCAATTCCACATAGCTCTATTGCAGGCCATACTATTTGATTCTACTTCATTCATCCTATCTCATTTCATTTTTTAATTCTACTTATTCATCCTTTTTTCTTTTTTTTTTCCACTCAGCCTTTTCCATTCTGTCCTTCTGTAGCTCATTCCAAGCCATCCTAGGCCTTCATCCTCTCTTCTGTGTCCCCAACACAGGCCCACATCCCTTGCCTGGATCTCCCCATCCCTTGTTGGTGTTTCCCCGCAGCACTTAACCTGACATACTGCACAGTTTACTCATTTAGCTGTTTTATTGTCACCCCACCAGAATGTCAGCTTCCTTTAAAGAGGGTTTTTTTTGTCTGTTGTATTAATTGATGAATCTCCTGAGCCTGGGGCAGAGTAGGCACTTAATAAATATTTGTGGAATGAAGGAATGAATAGACATCCAGACTAATATGCAATCAAATGTCAAAATATCTGGGGCAGAATCTAAGACCTCCAGAGAAGGTTTGGTGCTGGGAGGCTTCTGGGCAGGCTTAGTGCTGGGAGGCTTCCTAGAGGTAGGACAGAGCCAGGGCCCCAGGAATGGGGGATCTGGAGAGGTGGAGGGGGGAGGAAAAGGGACACAGCTGGGGCCAAGGCTTGGAGACAGGAATAGAAGTGACTGTGCCGGCATTGATGACCTCCCCAATCTCCTGCTAGCTCCTACAATGATGCCTCATCCACAGGTTGCCCTCATTGCAAATCTGCTAAATTAAAGGGTACAGGAGGATTGGTAAGTCCCTTTGCCTCTGGGCTTCAGTACCTTCATTGGTGGGGGAAGCCCAGGTGATGTCCAAGAGCACTTTCCACTCTGACGTGTGCAGCACTGTCTCCACTGATAGCAAACGATGGAGAGGTGCGCCTCTGCCTGAAGCAGGCAAGGCTGAAGTGAGACATAAGGTGTTGGGGGAGGAGGAAAGGCTTTTCTAGGAAGAGGAGCAACCCACTTCCCAGGTGGGGCTGGCAGGAGAGACAGCACGGGAGCCCTCTGGGCCAACTGGGGAGGGTCCCTTCTGTTCCTGCAGGAGCAGGACCAGGGCCTCTGTCATAGGAGATTTCTGTCTGTCGGGGCTGGCAGGAGAGACAGCACGGGAGCCCTCTGGGCCAACTGGGGAGGGGGGTCCCTTCTGTTCCTGCAGGAGCAGGACCAGGGCCTCTGTCATAGGAGATTTCTGTCTGTCCTCAGAGCATGGCCAAGCCAGCTGGTTCCCTAGCCCCCTGGCCTGGGCCAGGACCTGTTTTCTTGGGAGCCAAAAAATAAAGACAAACAGTTCAGGAGAGGTGGGTGGGGGCTGGGGCTGTGGAATTCCCCATCCTTCATGTCCCAGGCCTGCTTCCTGTTCCTAGTCCCTTGCCACACATGCAGTGCCTTCAGCCAGCATTTGGAGTGGGGAGGTGTGTCACTAGCCCTCACCCTAGGGAGCTGCTCCAGCCTCCCTCCCTCCATGATCTGCACTGGCCAGGGCAACTGATGCTCTATGAGCTGTGGAATTTTAATCAGCCCAAGTTGTACAAGTGCTCTCACCACATGGTGAGACCCAGAGAGGGGCAGAGACTCTCCCAAGTTCATCCAGAGAAGCCAGGAGTTATGCAGGGTCTCCTGACTCCTGGTACAAGGTCCATTCCACCTTCTGTCTCCCACCTCCCCCATCCCTGTGCCTCTCAGGCTGCCTGACTCCAGAGAGCCCCGTCCTGATCATTGCTTCTGTCCCCTTCTCCTGCACAGATCACTCACTGCAGTGTACTTTGTGCCCAGCCTTCATCTCTCCTCAGCATCCACAACCTGTCTCCAGAACACGTGGAAAATTCCTGAAGGGCAGAGGCTATGCCTTTCACTTAAATAGGCTACCTGAAGGGAAATTCCAGGGCCTATCTCTGTCTTAGAGGCGGATCTTCCCTGTTAGACCGGGCTTCCATTAGCTCAGCACAACGTCTCCCTCATCAGACAAGCCAGGACCTCCCTCACTTCAGCGACCATGTCTTCCCCAACAGCCAGAGGACTCACGTGGCGCAGATGCCAGGTATTGTTCCTCAAATAGGACAGACAGGTCCTCCCTCAGTTTAGAGACTATTATTCCTCTCATTAGTCAGGGGTCTCCCTTAACTCAAGGACAGTGTCTCCTCCACTAGACAGGAACCTCCTCCAGTTCAGGAACTATGTTCCATCAGACAGGGGCTCTCTCCAGCCTAGAGGTCAGGTCTCTTTCATCAAACAAGGCAGGCTGTCCCTCCGTTTAGGGATATGTACCCTCCATCAGAGAGACTGTATATCCCCCATTAGACAGGAGCCTCCCCCAACTCAGGGACTATGTCTACCCCATCTAAGCTTTCCCTAACTCAGGGACTATCTTCTCCCAAGAGGTCAGGGCTTCTCCAATGAAAAGACCATGGTTCCTCCTCTCTATGCTTCCCTCATGGTCCAGGTGGTCAAGGCCAGGCCCTAGGGTCAGACCGGCCCCTCTGAAGCTCAGCAAAAGCCCAGAAGCCAGGTTGGCTAACTGGCCACAGAGCTTATGGCCAGCCCTGCCTCAGTCTCCTCCAGACTCATGTAGAAAAGCTGAAGCCACCAGAGACAATCTAGCCTAGAACACTTGATCTAGGATCCAATTTCAGTAACTGGCCCCAGCTTCTCTCTGGGCAGGAGCCAAAGCAGTGATTAATAAGCTCTTCCATGGTATAGTGTGCTGGGGCCTTCTAGCAGCTGGGGGTGACCCAAGGTTAGGGAATCCAGGCCCTTCTTCTAGGCCCAGCCATATGAATGAAGTCTAGGCCCTTCCTTTCCCTGGAAATGCTGGAGGACCAGAGGATAGATTATTGGTATCCCAACATCAAGTCTTAGGAAGCACTTCCCAAGAATTGAGCCTAACTCCTTTCAGTTGCAAAAGTCCTTGGTGAGGGATTAAGCAACCCCTGTGCATATCACCCTCATAAACCACAGGCAGCTCGATTTCCTACCATAGCACATGATCAGAAGAATAAAAGTGGGGGATCGTGGGTTCAGATCCCCGTACCGGCCAGCCACCAAATAATAAATAAATAAATAAATAACAATAGGGGAAGAGTAATAATTGAAATGATTATACTTTATGTAATACTGTTTTATTAATCACGTACAGAGGATTTTCATTAATCATTCCATTTGATTCTCATAATAGTGCTTGAGAAAGGCAGAGCAAGGATCATTGATCCAATCTTTCAGATGAGGAAACTCAGGTTGGAGAAGGAAAGTAACTTAGTTAAGATTGTACACTGGTCAGTGTTAGGGTTAGGTCTTTGACTTGCCATCCAGTGCTCTGCAGGGTCTTGGAACACAGCATGCACTCAGTCAATGTTGAGGGGATTGGAATCTTTAGAAAGCATGACTTGGTCACAGTATGGACCCTGGTTACAGATCTATTGAGTTCGCAGTCTCAGGATCAGAGCTGCATGGACCTTAGATCATTGAGCGTACCCCTCACTGTACAGATGGGGAAACGGGGGCACAGAGAGGAGCAAGAACCCAGGACAAAAGCTAAGGCCTCTGGATTTTAGCCCAGAGCTCCCTCCACTCCTATCACAGCCTTAGAATTTAACATATATTTACTTAGGACCTCCTCTTTGTAGGCTCAGTGGCAGGTGGGAGGAGAAGAGTCACGGATGAGCCAGCACAGGCCTTGACCTTCAGGAGCTCACCACTTGGGGGAAGGGCTGGACAAGTACAGGGCACAGATCTGAGCTGATATAGAGGCCCTGAGGGTTCTGAGAGCCTGAGGAGGGAGGGAAGCAGCCTTGCCAGCTGGGAGAGCCAGGATGAAGGAGTGGCTCTTGCACTTGACCTAGAGGGGCAGAGAAGATTTTGAGGGACAGCAATAAAAAGGACGCTCCAGGCAGAGAGGAGTGTGTGGTGCTCACGAGGGGCTGGTAGGGGTAGAAGATGAATCAAAACAGGCAGAAAGGGACTGGATCCTGTACAGCCTCAAGGACCCCTTTGGCCCCATTCCCCCAACCTGGTTGAGCTCACTTACCTTTGATGAACTGGATCACTGTCAGGTCTGGTGCAATCTGGGCTAGGCCATCCTGCTTGTTTGGGGAGCCTCCAGGGCTCTGCTCAGAGGGGGGGTCTTCACCCTGGGAAGACACACAACCAAAGGCAGTCAGCTGGAAGGGAGCTCTGGGAGTGGAGTGGGGAGCTCTGTCACCTCAGCAGCAGCAAGGGGGCCAACGGTGTTCCATTTGTTCTTGGCCCTACAGGTACTCACAAGTGGTTTTGAAAGAATGAATGAAATTCCTGTGGTTAAACTTTGCCATCATCCCACCAGCTTCCACATGGCCAGTTGTCATCACCATTATCAACATCATAGTAATCACAAACATTACCATGAAAATTACCCCTGTAACCACCGTCATTATTATTCCTATCACCTTAAATATCACCCCCATTCACATCACCAATATTATCATGAATAAATGACCAGCTTATTCATGATGATGATATGATGATCATTATCACTGTCTCTGTCTGTCATGGTCATTACCACCAGCACAATCATTATCATTATCATTGTCACCTGAACCTTCAGAATCGCCACCAACATCAAGATTATCTGAATCATCAATATGATTATCGCTGCCTCTAACATCATCATTGTCTCTACCACTGTCTTCACTATTATCAGTGTCACCAACCTCATCTTCACCACCACCATCACCTTTACCACTGCTGTCACCAATAATATCTCCATTATCCACCTCATTATCAATGTCACTGTTACTGCTACTGTCAATGTCACCTATCCCATCACCACCACCACCATCAGTGTCATTGTCACCATCATTAACATCTTTACCACTCTCAACTGTTTCCATCACCACCTAGCATCAACATCACCAACACAGTGACTACCACTCCTCTCTACTCAGTTATCATGTCCTCCTGACTGTCATCACCTGGAGAGCCACAGGGAGCAGGAGCCTCCAGTGAGCTGTGCCTACCAAAAGGTTGGGGTGGTTTGGGCCTCCAGGCCCATTCTGTTCTGTACTGTCTGCTGGGACAGGAAGGGAACGGGGGTGGGGGGGGGATGGCAAGAGACAACACCTCCCCCCCCGGATGAGTCAGGCCACACTGAACATTTAGCTGGTACACCCTATGGGAAGGAGGCAACTCAGGCCACCAAGTGCCCAGTGTATTCTGTTTGCATCTGTAGGGTAAATGCTGGACATAGACCTATTCTCCTTCCCTGAGCATACCAGAGTTCCTCCTTCCCCCTGGGAAACTACCCCTGGGTAACTGCCCTGGCCAAGGCAGTTACCCAAGGAAAGGCATGTCTCTTTTAAGACAAACAGGAGACTGGAGGAAGCAGGGACCCCAAGTAAGTTAGCGCACTGGTGTGAAACTACTCTGGTGCCAGGTGTGAAAGTGCTCTGGAACCAGGAAAACAGTGGATTAATTTATCTACTCAGCCAGATCTCCCCTGCTCTGAGTTATGTGAGCTGGGTGAGGGTCTACTCTAAGCATGCAAATGCTTTACATCTCTACCACCTCTACTTTGATCTCTTCACTACATAATTGTTGTATGTACCTGTGGCTGCTCGGATTTCCAGCTGACCGGCCGCTGTGAGCACCTCTCATGAGTCTAATAAACCGATATCTCTACCTATTGGCCTGGGTGAGCTCTTTGGAATAGGCAAACACTACGTGAGTGCCCTCTCAGATGTGGGGATCCCATGATACAGCATTCCTCTAATACAAGAACATTGCAAAGCAGGTACCATTATTGTGCACATTTTTAGATGAGGAAACTAAGTCTTGGAGAAGTTGCTATTGGCACAGCACCATTTGAGTATAAGTGACAACTAGGATCTGATTTAACTACACTTTTCTATGCAGCCTGAGGTCAGAATTAGAAGCAACAAGGCTGGCTGGTTAACTCTCTTCATTAGAGTGTGGTGCTGATAACACCAAAATCAAAGGTTTGGACCCTCTTACTGGCCAGCTGAAAAAAAAATTAGAAGCAACAAATTCCATGGAAGAAGAGTCAAGCCCAGTGTAAAGAGTTATTTGGAAGGGACTGCGCTGAGAGAAGTGAGTTCCCCATAATCAGGAGTGGCTGGCTTCCCCTGGACCAGGATGCCACACGCCATGGGGGAGGGTGGATTGGGCTGGAGAGCTCACCTGGGCATCTCTGGTTCTGCTTCTCTCTCCCCGTGTTGCCTCTGTGAGGTCCCTACAGGCCTCGTCCTCTGGTTGGAGTCTGATACCTTCCCTTTCTTCTATCATCTCTCTTTTTAGGGAGACTTAGGAGGCAAATACTGGATTTTCCCACATTTCAGAAACTCCATGCCTCCACCCCAGGGGTGCCCCATTCCAAGCTTCTTCCACTTGGCTCCCTGGTGCTGGCTGGCTCAAGGCTGGTCTCTCTCAGCAGGACAATTCATTAAAATATTAATTCATGTGTGTTTGTCCCCTTTGGGCTCTCCCCTTTCTTCTCTCTTCTTTCATTAGAGCAGGGAGCAGGCTGTGGGTTTCCTGGCCTTGGGAGGTTCACGGCAGGGCAGAAAGCAGTAATTGCTTGCAAGATTTTCCTTCCTGGCTTCTGTTTCCAAAGCTTGAGTCCATTGGGAGGATTTTGCTCGGTGTTGTGGGGGGTGTGAGGAAAGAGGGAGGCCTCTGAGGATGAGGGGATGATAATGCCGTCCTCTCTACAAACTAAGGGGGCTTGGACTGAGCGGTCTGTGGGTTCTACAAGCAGCGGGGAGTCACGTACCCTCTGAGATAGATTCTCCAGGAAGCAGTTCACCTCTGAGGGGCATGCTACAGGCTGACCCAGGGAGGCGGGGCTCCCATGTTCCTGGCCACCAAGACTCCTCTGCTCCAAACACACTAAGGGAAACCACACAGGCCAGGATAGTGGGAGGGCATCGCCATAGTGTCCAGAGTGGGTTGTTGCTGGTGCCTGCTGGGTGGGGATGGGGCCTCCCTGGTGTCTGGGCACAGTGCAAGATCTCAGGTCCTTTACTGCACTTTGGTGGAAGATCCCTGGGAAAGGCTGAGGTTGTATTTCTTAATGATCTGGCAGGATGGGCACTCAGAGTAGAAATTAAGATGATTTTTTAGAGAAAATAAAGAAATATCTATTTTATACACACCTAGGTCTGAGCCCAACCTCGTTCAGTGTTTATCTCATCTGTTGAACTCTGAGCTCTGCAAGAGCAGGAATCATGTTTATCTTGTTCTCTGTTGAAACCCTGGTGCCTAACACAAGGCCTGGAGCAAAATAGTAGGTATATGATAAATTCTCTATTAAAAGGAGAGAAAGAGATGGCTGTAATTGGCGGTGGGTGCAGCTAATGCCAGGCTCTTGCAGGAAAAATGAGAATATCAGGAGGTGTGCTCACGCTGTGAGGGAGCTCTTGGACTGCTCATGGTTCCGAGACAGGCAAAGGACCCATACAGAGCTCCCCTGGGGCTAGCAGAACTGAGACTCCAGGACCTGCTAGTATGTGGGTTGGTGGCTACGTATGCATGAGCCCGCTCCATCTGCGTAGGAAGGAGTCGTAGGCTCTTTCACACATGAGCAAACAAGCTCTGAGATTAGGCAACTCGTTCAGACATCACGCTAGAAAGTGGCAGAACTAAGATCTGAGCTCCAGTTTCCCTGAGTAGAAAATTCATGCTTTACCCACTAAGCCCTGTGCGCCAGCAGCCCTGGTGCAGGATTGGCAGAATTAGGAGGCATCTTTGTGGTGTGATTTGAGGGGACCTGAAATCTCACCATTTAAGTCATTTCTTTGGGTGGCACTCCCTGGGTCTACTATTCATTGATACCGTAGAGCCTCATTTACACCTTAAAGCCACACTAAGGCAGCAGCCACCAGCCACATGTGGCTCCTGAGCAGTTGAAATATGGCTAGTCCAAATTGAGATATGCTGTAAGTGTAAAATACACGTTGCGTTTTGAAGATTTAGTGTGGAAATAAAAGAATGGAAAAAGAATATTTCATTTTTAAAAATATTTATTATATGCTAAAACGAGAGTGTTTTAGATATAGTGAGTTAAATAAAATATATTATTCAAATTAATTTCCTTTTCTTTTGAATGTGGCTGTAGAGCATTTAGAATTACATACTATATGTGGCTCACACAGTATTTCCTTTGGGCATGCTGCCTTAAAGAGTATTAGTGAATTCTCCTTGCTCCTTTCTCAGTCCAGCCAGGCTATGGGAGAGTGGTTTGGAAAGAACAGCACAGTGGGGGCAGGGTCCTGGATAGCTGAGGGAGAGGGTGCTGGGAGTGGGGTGCTGCCCCAGGAAGCAAGTAGGAGGGCTGAGGATAGACTGATAACATCCCATTGTTTCTTATCAGGGAGGGGCAGGCTCAACCTTCAGAGACAAGCAGAATCTTGTGAGTTGCTTGTCCGGGGTTCCTTGTCCATAGGTAAACAGTGAGTACAACCACAACATCATCTGTTCCCATATGTACATACCCTATGGTCTACATTGCACCTTCATCCACCTTGTCATTTAATTCCCACAACAGTCTGCCTGGTGCAAGGATTATTACTCCTCCTATTTTACAGAAGGAAAAACTGAGGCCCCAAAAGGGGAAGTGGAACCCAGGGAGTTCATGGCAGAGCAGGCTCTCAAACCAGGTCCTCTCGTATCCCTGGCTCACCCTGTCTCATGCTGTGAAAAAGAGGATGGAGTTTGGAGACAGGAGAGGAGGGACAGACCTTCAAGGGCTGGGGGTTAGGAAGGCATCCAGGGAAAGTGAGACTTGGGGTATGGGTAGACAGAAAAGGAGGTGCGATTTGAAGCAGAGGCACAGCACGAGCAGAAGCGTGGTGGTGGGAAGGAGCCCATCGTGTGCAGATGCAGTGGTGACACCAACATGACTATGGCAAGTGCCTCGCTGTGGCAGGAGATGGAGACCAGAGATGGGCTGGCATCAGGACTGGGTGGTTTTGAGGGCCAGGCTAAGGGATTTGGGCTGTATTCTGTGGGTATTGGGAGCCCTAACTGTCCCTAGCTCCTGTTCCCTGTGTCCTCCACAGGTTTCCACCTCTCGCCCTTATTCTGTGTTGAGGACTGCTGACTAATAGCAGCCTCCAGAAATAGGAAACACTGTGCC